TTCGCTATACATATATACAAAAAGAAGCAATTGTATAATTCGTTGGCTCCTCTTCAGAATTGTATAATTTCGCTGGCAGGCCATTTGTATAAATTGTTGTTAGCCTCTCGTTGGCAAGGGAATATTTTTATTGTATAATTATAAGTGTATAGGACGAATATATATGTATTTGCATGTGTATATACAATTTTCTCTCGCTTTATACAAACAGAAACGCAATTTATACAATTCTGTTGTATAAAGCGAGAGAGGCGAGCAGAGAGGGAGTGAGCGAGAGAGGAGAGTGGCGAGCGAGAGTTTGAGGGAGAGAGGCGCTGGCAAACAGTTTGTTACAGGACACAATTAAATCAAAGTGTGATTATACCATTTAATTTGAATTAATAGTTTGTCATTATGTACAATTTTCCCTTATTGTGACACATTAGTTTGGGCTTTGGAACTTTTATCTTATTATTTGCACACATCTACTTGATTTTGGTGTCATTATTTAAGTTATGTCATAAATTTGTAATTTTTTTTAACTATAGTACAGGTATTTACTGTTCATAACAAGAGAGAAACACGATCGAGATTGGGAGAGAGAGGAGAGATGCGATCGAGATTTGGAAGAGAGATGTTAAATACAGATTGTATTTGACGAATACAAATTGTACTAACGATTAAAGTTTGATACAAAAAGTTGTATCACTTGCATTCATTCACTCTTTTATCACCTGTATTCATTCGTAATACAAAAATACAACATGATACATAACGTATCACTTATATTCTTTGCTCTTGTATCACTTGTATTCATTCGCGATACAAAAATATAGAAATACATGATGTACTCAATAAATACATGCTCTCTTATATTACTTTTATTCATTCACAATGCATAAATACAAAAATATAGGCTGGTACAGACGATATTCAATACAACAGACTAATACATACATGTTGATACATACTGTATTTACTTGTATTAATTCACTCTTGTATTATTTGTATTCACCCGCAATATATAAATACATGTTGTATTTGATACATACCAATTTATACAAATGTTGATACAATCTTTAAAGTGATACAAATATTTTAGTTCATTCTATTTATGATGTTAAATATGCTAAAAAAAGTATTTAATTTGTCAAAATGCGAGTTCAAAATTTGTTATAAAAGTTGGAAAAAAACCATCAAATATTTAAAATAATCCCCACCAAAGAAATTAAAAAGAAAAGTGATGAACTAATTGACCTGATGACCAAACATTTGTGTGATTTCTATGTCATAATACATCTTAAATTATGCCTCTCTTCCTAAACTCCCTATATAAACTCAAGAAAATCCTTTATTCAAACTCACCTCACAAACCCAAGAAAACATTTCTTTCTCCATTTTTTTTTTCCAACACAAAAAAAAATTAAAAAAATCAAAATCACAACAAAATAAAAGAGAAAACAACAAGAAGAAATGGCCTCATCAATGAAATCATCTTTGATCCTTTTCTTTACATGTTCCCTTTTCCTCCAGGTCACTTATGCTGTGTATAAAAGTAAGTTATTGATTTCTTAATTAATCTTTGTGAAAATAATGTGTTCAGTTGAATCCCGTCTTAGTTCATGCACATTAATCTTAATGTGCATAAACAAAGAATTCAAAATTATTGATTTCTTAATTAATCATTATGAACATAGCAGTTAAATTTCATCTTTGTTCATGCACATTTAATATGCATGAACATAGAATTCATAATTATTGATTTCTTAATAATAATTGTGAAAATATTGAACCGCACTTGATCAATCTCCTTTCACGAATTGTGACACTTTCCTTTTTAATCAGTTTTAAAAAAATATGTCATATTTTTATAATTATAAATGATTTATCTTTAACATTTCATTTTTAACCTTACTGAAATGGTTTACATTCACACAGATTCTAAGATTTGTTTTAGAGTAGACTTCTTTTTTTTTCCTCAAAATTTTATATGTTCAGTTAAACTGTAGTACCACAATAACTGAAACAGAACAAGTATCTAATTATTCTCTTTCTTTTTGTAGCTGAGGTGAAATGTGAGAGTTTACCAAATGGTGATTGTGCATTTGCAATTTCATCAACAGGAAAAAGGTGTATATTAGAAAAAGCAACAACACCAAAAGATGACTTAATTAGTAGTGAATATGAATGCAAGACATCAGAAGTGATAGTTGAAAACATGAAGGAACACATTGAAACAGATGAATGTATTGAATCTTGTGGTCTCAATAGAAATTTCTTTGGAATTTCTTCTGATGATTTGCTTGAGCCTCAATTTGTCTCCAAATTGTGTGCCCCTGCTTGTTATCAAGAATGTCCCAATATTGTTGACCTTTACTTCAACTTGGCTGCTGGTGAAGGTAAATCTAACAACATTATTAACTTTGTGATTCAGTGCAGATATATCACTCGTTAAAAAACATGATGCATATATACTTCTGTTGTCTAATAAATGATGCATATTACAAAACTATGCACAATTTGTTAGACTATGAAAAAATATATATATGCATCATTTTTTTTATCGAGGTGTATATAACCGTCTTATTTCGAGGTTTTAAATTTATTTATGTGGTGAAATGTGTAGGAGCATACTTGCCAGACCTATGCAACAAGAACAATAAGTTGAAGAGTAGTGGTGCTGCTGAAGATGGTGTTGATGCTCCTGCTCCATCTCCTTCTTCATTCTAAATATTTTTGCACCTTTTTAAAAAATATATATATGCATCATTTTTTTTATCGAGGTGTATATAACCGTCTTATTTCGAGGTTTTAAATTTATTTATGTGGTGAAATGTGTAGGAGCATACTTGCCAGACCTATGCAACAAGAACAATAAGTTGAAGAGTAGTGGTGCTGCTGAAGATGGTGTTGATGCTCCTGCTCCATCTCCTTCTTCATTCTAAATATTTTTGCACCTTTTTAAAAAATATATATATATAAATAATTGTTTTTTTACAAACAATTTTATTGTTGTTTGTGAAGATATTGCACTCAATGTTTAATTCTGTGGGTTTGCTGAAATTTTTTCTTTGTACCAATTCTTTTGTCACTGAGAATTTAATAAAGATTCTTCTTCTTTTACATGGAATTTGTTGTTTAATTATTCTTGTTTGATTTTTTTATTTTATTTTTATCAAATGACAATTTCTATGAGAAAATTAAATGGGTGAATAGAGATTTTATGGAAATGATATAATTGACTTAACAAGTTTCAAATTAGATCTTAAACATTATTACACAACCAAAAAATATGCCATAGGTAATTATGTACATGGCTAGACTTCTCACAACAATATGAAAGATAGAAAGAATAACAAATTAACAATTACTAAATAATATCACTAACACTTGGTAAAATTATGATGATTGAGAGAACCATTGTGCATCAAATGAAGTTTCTTTTAAGGGATAAGGTGTAAGAGTTTTCTCATTTATATTGAAATTGTCAGTTACATATTTAAATTACGGGAGAGTTCTATTACTCAACATAACTTTTTTGTTTAATAATTTACGCCACAAAAGTATGTGAGGGAGGCTCTTATTACCCCCTCCAAATTATATTTTTTTTATTATTTAAATACCTAAATTATTTTGGTCCAAATTTTGGAGTGTTTTTTCGGGCAGTTTTGATCCAATTTTGATTCAATAACATAATAAAAATAAGAACTTGCAAGTTTTATACACCAAATAAATGAAAATATCATATGCAAAATATCAACTTCATAAATGTAGAAAATCTGTGCAAAATATCAAGAATAATTTTATACGACTCTTGTGACTCTTGCATAGTTAGGGGTGTTAATAATACAAAAACATTAAGTTCAAGAGGGAATATGACTCTCGCATAATTTAGGTGTGTAACTGACAAATTCGTTATAGTTAGGAAGTTCTTATGTCGTATCTCTTCTTTTTATCACTTTTCACTAATTGAATTTATGAACTACTCATTCCCGTCTTTATGGGGGAAGCGAATAGTAAAAGAATTGGGCCATAAATTTTTTTGGGTAATGATTTAAAAATTCTAGGCTAGGCCAATCTCAGAAGGAATCTAAGTAAGGTGAGGTCTAGGGCAATCCGGAAATGAAACAAAGGGAGTATGTACGTAGATCAATCAACATGCAATACAACTCACATTACATATCGACAACTAAGCAAAGTCTAACTCAATGTAAGATTTTAGTACTTCTTTTCTATTTGTCACGTATATAAGAGAATAAGCACACTCAAGAGTACCACCTAAGTACCAAATGATATTTTTATTATATTTTAAAATACTTTAGGAGGATGGATTTCGCCTATAGATCAAGTTCACATTCAGAATTAAATAGGCTTACTATTAAACACCAATTGATTTATTATTTTACTTTTCCATTGGCAAAGAATATAAATTGAATTAAATTAAAGAGAAAAAGAATTTCAGTTCATTTTATTTATTTACGATGTAAATGATGCTAAAAAATAATCTATCAAAATTTAGAATATGAGTTAAAACTTTGACCTTGTAAAAAAATCATCAAATATTTAAAATAATCCTCACCAAAGAAAACTTAAAACAGAAAAGTAACTAATTAAGCTAGTGATCAAACATTTGTATGATTTTTATTGGTCATTATACACAAAACAACTCCCTATATAAACATAAGAAAACCCTTCATTCAAACTCATCTCACAAACCTAAAAAAAAAATATAAAAAAAAATCTTTCTCCATTTCTTCTTTCCAACAACAACAAAAAATACAAAAAAAATATCAAAATCCCAACTAAACAAAAGAGAAAAAAACAAGAAAAATAAATGGGTTCATCAATGAAATCATCTTTGATCCTTTTTTTGACATGTTCCCTTTTCCTCCAAGTCGCTTATGCCGTATATAAAAGTGAGTTTTTCATTTCTTAATTAATCGTGAAAATAATGTGTTCAGTTGAATCTCGTCTTTGTTCATGTACATTAAATGTAACGTGCATGAACAAAGAATTTAGAATTACTGATTTCTTAATTAATCATTATGAAAATAGTGTGTTCAATTGAATCTCGCCTTTGTTCATGCACATTAAACATAATGTGCATGAATATAAATTTATTGATTTCTTAATGATAATTGTGAAAATATTGAGCTCAGTTGAACCAATCTTGATCAATCGTTGTTGATGCACATTGCGCTTATACTCCTTTCATGAATTCATACGACACACTTTCTTTTATTTAGTCTGTCTCAAAAAAAAATCACATTTCTTTAATCAGAAATAACTTAACTTTAGAATTTTAATTTATTATCTTTACTGAAATGATTCATAGCCACACATATTCTAAGATTTGTTTTAGACAACAATTTTTTTTATTTTTTCTTTAACTTGATATGTTCAGTTAAACTTAAACTGTGTCACATAAATTGAAACAACGCGATTATCTAATCATTCTCTTTCTTTTTGTAGCTGAGGTGAAATGTGAGAGTTTACCAAATGGTGATTGTGCATTTGCAATTTCATCAACAGGAAAAAGGTGTGTATTAGAAAAAGCAACAACACCAAAAGATGACTTAATTAGTAGTGAGTATGAATGCAAGACATCAGAAGTGATAGTTGAAAACATGAAGGAACACATTGAAACAGATGAATGTATTGAATCTTGTGGTCTTAATAGAAATTTCTTTGGAATTTCTTCTGATGATTTGCTTGAGCCTCAATTTGTCTCCAAATTATGTGCCCCTGCTTGTTATCAAGAATGTCCCAATATTGTTGACCTTTACTTCAACTTGGCTGCTGGTGAAGGTAAATCAATCAACATTACTAACTTTGCGATTCAGTGCAGATATATCACTCGTTAAAAAATATGATGCATATATATACTTATGTTGTCTAATAAATGATGCATATTACAAAACTATGCACAATTTGTTAGACTATGAAAATATATATGCATCATTTTTTTATTTATTGAGGTGTATATAACCGTCTTATTTCGATCTTTTAAATTTGTAGGAGCATACCTGCCAGACCTATGCAACAAGAACAAGAAGTTGCAAAGCAGTGGTGCTGCTGAAGATGGTGTTGATGCTCCTGCTCCATCTCCTTCTATTTTCTAAATTATTTTTGCACCTTATTATAAAAAAAAATATGAATAATTTCTTTTTACAAGAAGATATTAATGTTTAATTCTTTGGGTTTGCTGAAATTTTTTTCCTGTGACATTTTTATTTTTTGTACCAATTATTTTTTTCAGTGAAAATTTAATAAAGATTCTCCTTTTTTTTTACATGAGATTTATTGTTTAATTATATATCTATGTTTGCTAGTTTAAACTAGCAAATTAAACATTGTCTGTGAACTTTGCAAAATAAAAAGAAAGAAAAATCATACTACCAAGATTTTAATGTGACAATGATATAACAATAATAATTATGCCTTATTATCAAATAAATTAAAATTGGTTATACGAATTCTCGTTAGATTTTACATAAATTTAAGCTTAGCTAATAAAATACTATAATTAATGGGTGGAATGTAACGTACAATTTTTTGAGAGTATAACGTATTATGTTTTTGCACCATCTCCTTTAGTAATAATTTAAACCTAGTTTAGAGTGAAAATTATTTTTTTAAAAATTGTTTGTTACAATTTAAAAATTACAAATTTAAAAATATTCAAATTTCAAAATTTAAACTCCAAAATTTATGATAAAACGAAAACTTTACCTCATTTTTGTAGATTCACTATAATGACGGGTATAACTTGACAACTAAAGATACTTGGAAGACTCTAAAAAGAATATCAAAATTGGATAAAATGGTCCACACGACCAATTTTTTATTATAAATTGGATTCATCAATTAAAATAGCACAAAAAACATAAAATGTCAATTTTACCCCTTTTAACAATAAGCACACATATTAATGAAGCGTTGCTTCTTATTCGCTTTTATTAGATAGTAAAAAAAATGAAAAATACTCGAGATATCAAGCATTTTTCCATATTAATAAAAATAATTTGAATAGTTTGATGAATAAAAATTAAAATTTTATTTATCTAAATTGAGTTTAGATTAATCGAAGTAAAAAAAGATATTTCCTTTAGTTTTTCATTCGATATTCTAAGTCTAGATTGGAGCTCCAATTAAATTTGGATCTCGTATTGTATGATCGATTTGGGGGTGACGCTCCTCAACATGATTTTCTCCATACCAAAACCCAAACATGAGACTGTTAATTAAGGATGAAACAATAAACTTTTAGGAATGTGTTGTATATTTCAAACATAGTTCTTTTTGAAAATACGGGCAATATTTTTGAAGAGTTCGAGAAATGTAGTTTACGAGGGTAAAAATGGTAAAGGAAACAAATTTCGAAGTAAGGAGCTGTCTTCACTCTCTCTATATACCTACCTTCATCTATTTTGCAGTTGCACTTAGGCGGGTACCCAAAACTACACAAAATCAAAATTTTAAAACCAAAAAAAATGGAAAACGATACACCGGAAGTTCAAGAAGTGAGCGTCGCCGTTGATGGTTTTCACGGCGGAGGAATTGGGGATGCCTCCGTCGGCGGCGGCGGCGGTGGTGGTGTTGATGGCGGTGATGAAGAGGAAGTGTTGATGCTAGAGGACGGAAGTGGAAGCAGTGACCAACTGAGAAAGAAAACGGCAGACCGTGTTAAAGGACCATGGTCACCTGAAGAAGACGCTATACTTAGTCGTTTGGT